GGTTTGCTGATTACAACTGGGGGGAAAATAGGCTGTTCTTTAAAAAAAAATACAAAAAATAAAGATATGAATGAACCTGCTGACAGTCTAGCCAGCCTAAACTCTACCTATTGCCCATGGGAAGTCCTGATATATTTGGCAAAATACTAGATAATCGGAAGGGGATAAATGTTCTTATTTCAAAAATGAGAAAAAGAAAGAGTCACCAGTCAATTTGACACTGATAGTTGGAAAATCCTAGAGCAGGTCATAAATTTGTCATCCTGCAAGTGGCTTGAAAACGAAGCTGTGATTACCAGAAGTTAGAATGGATTTGTGAAGAACAGATTTTGTCAGGATAATGGTATTTCATCTTCTGGCCAGGCAAATTGCCTTAGGAGATTCTGATTATGCTACAGGTATAATACACCTTGGGTTCAGTAAAACATCTGATAAATTCCCATTTCAGATTCTGATAAGCTAGCTAGACAAGTATAACTTTGATATGTTGTTTATTAAAAGAAGTCATACACCTTCTGTAAGCTATATTTCAAAACATGTTCCTCATCTAAATAGAGTGATGTATCAAGTAGGGATCAGTTCTCTTTAATGTTTTCATTAATCATTAGGATGAGGAAATGGATAGAATGCTTCTAAAATTTGCAATGACACAAAAGAGGGCATGATATCTAATAATCTATAAAACCAAATTCAAAATTAGCTTGATTGATTAGATAAGTGCACTCTTATAATAACAAAAAATAGTGCAAAGCTTTTCATTAGGAAAAAAAATCAAAACCCATAAGCATCAGATAGTGAGTGATACATGGCTTGAAATTAGATCTTAGAATTGTGGTTGAATGAATGGAATGAATCAGCAGTGTAACATTTCACCATAGAGTCCATGCAATTCTAGACTGTGTAGGAAGTTAGCACCCATTCCTCTCTTAGCCCTTTCATTACATCATCAACTAACAAGAGTCAATGAAGCCTGGCACTCAAAAGACAACCTACCAAGTTACCCCTGCATGGCCCCATGAGAGTCTGATAACCAATCAGAAGACAAGCTTGAATTCAAAGCCCAGAGAGGGCATAAAACCCAAGGACTCTCAGCATCTTTTCCCCTTTTTCTCCCAGGAGCTCCAAGGCATGTGATCCTGTTCATCAATAAACCTTCTTTCCAAGCAACTTCTATGATTCCAGTGTCTTTTCCCCTACTTGGAACTAAACCCAGAAGGATATTTCTTCCAACAACTGTATCAATAGAATCATATTTTCCAAATCCCAGGATGCAGTCATTCCACTATATTCTGCATCCAAAGTCCTATGTGTAATTCTGGGGATCACATTTTAAAGAAATTCAAAGAAAGTGCTCCAAAAGAGTACAACACAGATGAATCAGAAGCTTGAAGTTAAGCTTTATAAAGTGAAAAAGAAGCTTTATAAAGTGAAAAAGAGGAAATGTGATATGTCAGCTTCAAAAAAGACAACTTTTTTGAGAAAGTTCTCAAGTATTTTTATCTGTGTCACAAAAAAGAAAATCAAGACCTGTTCTGTATTAACTAGGATGGAATTAAAGCCCCTTTCAACTATGTTCTATGAATGCTAGTAATACATTTTCTAGGCCAATGTTTCTCTACTTCAGCAACGTTAAACTGTGTGGACCAACTTCAGTTTGTTGGCTGGGAAATTCTGGGAGTTGACATTGCTTGTGTGAACACATAGCTTAGAGCAGCTGAGGTTGAGAAACACTGTTCTAGTTCGTTCTAGGCAGACAAGTCTTAAATAAAACCTAAAAAGAATTTTTTTTAAATTAGTTCTAGCATACATATACAATGAAAGGACACCCATATTGCATTGCCCAGTAGAGAGAAAACACTTCTCCTTTCCACTCTTGTTAGAATAGTAATTTTGGAGAATTAGGAAAACACTCCTAGTTCCCCTAGGCTTATAATTTGAGACAACGACAAATCCGCATATAGACAGGAGGTTGTACAACTTGCTTCGTGGTGTAACCGGAACAATCTGGAACTGAACACACTCAAAACCATAGAAATGGTGGTAGACTCTAGAAGAAACCCTCCCATACTACCATCTCTTACAATACTAGGCAACACCATGTCAACAGTAGAGACCTTCAAATTTCTAGGTTCTACTATATCACATGACCTAAAATGGACACCTAACATCAAAGACATCACCAAGAAAGCACAACAAAGAATCTTCTTTTGCGCCAACTCAGAAAGCTCAAACTGCCCAAGGAGCTGCTGATCCAGTTCTACAGAGAAATTATTGAGTCTGTCATCTGCACCTCTATAACTGTCTGGTTTGGTTCTGCAACCCAACAGAACAGACACAGACTTCAGAGGATAATCAGGACTGCAGAAAAAGCAATTACTACCAACCTGCCTTCCATCGAGGATCTGTATATTGCACGAGTCAAAAAGAGGGCTGTGAAAATATTTACAGACCCCTCATATCCTGCAGGGGTCTTTAAATAAAGATAAACTGTTTCAACTCCTACCCTCAAAATGATGCTACAGAGCACTGCACACCAGAACAACTAGACACAAGGACAGTTTCTTCCCGAAGGCCATCACTCTGCTAAACAAATAATTCCCTCAACACTGTCCAACTATTTACAAAGTCTGCACTACTATTACTATTAATCTTCTCATCACTCCTTATCACCCATCCCCTCCCACTTGTGACTGTATGACTGTAGCTTTGTCGCTTGTATCCCTATGATTTATATTGACTGTTTCCTAGTATGATTTGATTGCTTATTGTACCCTATGACTATTATTAAGTGTTGTACCTGATGATTCTTGATCTTAACGAATGTATCTTTTCTTTTATGTACGCTGAGAGCATTTGCACCAAGACAAATTCCTTGTGTGTCAAATCACACTTGGCCAATAAAGAATTCTATTCTATTCTATTCTATTCTATTCTAAATTTAACTTGCTAGAGTTTAATTGGCTAAAGGTTAATTGACCCATTGACCCAAATAAGCTGTTCCCCTCTTTTTCAGAGATGAGCCTTCATTGTATAAACTGAATTTTGGTTCATAATTTGCATTTATTCAGAAATACAGCCAGGGTGCTTATATAGGAATACTTAGAGTGATCAGCAGGCAAATTTTCTATGATCTCTAGAGCTACATCTAAATATTCTAAGTGTTTCCCTTTCAGTTATAATAAATCAGACTTTCTTATCTAATTTCCTAAAATAATAAGAACAGGCAGAATTGTTAATGTATAATTAAAGTTGGCTGATTATAACAAATTAATCTTCCTTATCTATTGGAATTATAAATTGTATTTCTCCAATGTCATTTAACTCTATGAAAAATAAGGTCTGCTTTCAAAGAGAAACACATATTCTTTCAAGCTGCCTGACATTTAATGCCAAAATATATTACATACACTTTTTATCCTTGTGAGAGAGAAATATTGCCCTATTTGGAAATTATATGCTACTTCCACAACCTTTACATAAGTATTACATTATCTTTACATGACTTTTTGTGAAATGCTAACATATACTTTATTTCTGCTTCTTTCTTCTTAACTACTCTGATCTAGCTTTAAAACATAGGTGTATAATCTTTTGTGGATAGCAAAAAAAAAAAGAATATATAGTAGGTCAATCATGCCTGCCTTTTCTCACATGCCTGTTATTTAATATTTCTAACAGCATAACATTTTAAATTATATGGTCACACACTCACCAGGTGACTTAACAGTTCAAAACAATTTAACCATTTTTAAATATTGCAATGCTGGTTCCAGTGACTAAAAAGTACTGACAAGGCTCATGGAACAAGTCTAGGTGTGCATAATTTTGCCTGTAACATACTTCCCCATTCTTTTTATACTTTGAAATATTTTTAAACTGAACCGCCTGAATCCGACCCCGGTCATAAGTCAAGGAATGTCTATATAATATGCTCAATCTAGTTTATAGCCTGTTATATCCTGGTGGTCTCCAATCCAAATTCACCAAATCCAAATCTGTTTAGCTTCCAAGTTCAGATAAGATTGGTCAAGTGTTGCCATTTGCTAAAATATTTAAATATTTTATCATTTGTGCTATAAGCTTTGATGGTTTGTGAGCAGGTTGAAAACCATCTATGCTTTCCTGAAACTATAGGACACAGGAATTATACTGGGGGTCAGGAGTGAGAGATATGTAATTATGGAAAGTGATATGGCTATCTCACAGAAGGAAACATAGCCTAAACAAAAGGTGAAGACTTTTGATTTTCATAGCAGTTGATCTAGAAATTTTAGAAAACAGGATTACGGCTAAAACATTTCCCTATACTCTCTCACTTTCACCTTGTTATAGTAGGGGCTATTTGTATAGCTAAATCCTATTCCAATGAAAAGCAAAGCAAGAAATCAATCTTAGTTATATTCTCAAAAAAACAAATACAAAATTGAAAAAGAAGTTAGGGACATTGGCTGAAAAAAACAGAAAAACATTTAATAGAAATAAGTGAAAGCTTTGTTTAGGAAAAGAAATCAAATATTTTTGCTCTGTTGTATTCTTTTGAGACTCTACAGATTGGGGTGAGATACAAAAGCTGTGAAATAAATAAATGTACAGCCTTAAAAGCTGCTGAGATATGAAGGAATACCAGTTGCATTTGGTGTAGCGGTTAAGGTGTTGATCTAGAACAGGGGTGTCAAACTTGCAGCCTGAGGGTCAGATGCATCACACGCTGGCCATGCCCATGCCCGCTTTAGTGAAGGGGGGAAATGTCATGAGTAGTCACGTGACATGAATGTGATGCTGCAAGTTTGACACCCCTGATCTAGAAACAAGGACACTGGGAGTTCTCGGCCTCCCTTAGACATGAAAGCCAGTTGGGTGATTTTGGGCCAGATTCCTCTTCTCAGCCTAACTCAATTCACAGGATTGTTGTGGTAGGGAAAGTAGGAGACAAAAAGCTGTTGAAGTTATAACATTATTTGGACAATGATTTAAATCATCTATTATATTTTCAAGCTTACCTCTGCTACTTTTGCTGCATCCAGGACTCGACTATCCTTTTCAGCACCCTTTTGTTTTTGTAAAGTTCGCCAGACAGCATTTCTTAATCCTTCTCGATTCACATCTCCCAATAGTTCACTACGCAGGATAACAAGATTGTAGATCACACCATAACGTATAACCCAGAAGGGATCGTTATCTGAAATAAGGGTAGACCAGAGTGCCATAACATGACTGCTCAAAACATGAGAAATGTTTTTCTGATCAGATCAAAAAATCCACATAGTCTAGAATTCTGCTTTAAAAGCAGACAGCTGACTCCTCTGCAAGCTCAGGCCAAATTTAGACATGCCAAGATCCTTTAAACAATTATGGAAAGCATTTTACCATGTAAGTAATTAAATTAGTTGTTATTGCTTTTAAAAGGCATTTCTCTATGCACTGAGGCTTTGGTATAGAATACTAGCATCCTAGCAACTATCTTTCTAGTCAGATGGTTGTGATGCTACTGCTAACAGAATAGTCCAAGAATGTTATGACTTTTGAAAGAGTTGCCAGTAAAGGTAAGCCAGAGGAATTTACAAGCTTTTGACAAAAGCAACATCACAACATGTTGTAACCAAAATGGTCCGAGCCTGGTGCCAATAAAGACCAGTATTGGAATACTTCAGCAAAAGAATCTCAGCAGCTAAAGGAGCCAAGACCCCAAACAATGCACAAATACAAATTTCATATTAATAGCTTTGATTAAGGAACCTGACACCCTAAGAATCAAATATTGGCTCCTTGACACATGTTTATTTTGATTCTTTTCTTCTACTTTACCCTCCTTCATACATCTCATGTTTATGTTAATAAACTTTCTTATCAAAAGAGGTGCATCTTTTACTATTATAATAAGCTGGAGGTTACCAAAGTTTATATAACTAAGTGCCTTCTAATGTGTCTTTCTAACTTGTAACTTTCTTGTTGCTAGGCAGTAATAACCCACCATTGTTACACACATCACAGCTGCAACTTTCTGCATCAGCAATTCCTTTAACAAACTTTCCTAATTCCAACCTGAGTCCTTCAAACATTAGGCTGAAAGCTCCAGCCTTCAGTGAAAAGGGGGCAGGACTTATACTATGATGTTGTTTACATCACTCTACTTCCTTCCCCTGACTTTCACCATTGGGCTGGCCATATTATAGGAGAAGTAAAAAAAGTAACAGCAATCTCTCTAACTGCTTCCAGTTTAGTTATTTAGATACATTATTTCCCTTTTTAAAAAGAATCCAGGTGATACCATTAATATTTGAACTTTAGTGTTTTGTCTACCATTGTTTGATAAACCAGATTTTAAAAAATAAACCAACAGAATGTTAGTGCTAGCTTATCAGGTGTTGACTTTCAAAGAACAATTGAAGCTATTTATGATTGTCTGGCTTTTGCTTATTAACATTTTTCTTTGGGTTTTTTATTGCTTCCAGTTCAGAGCAGCAGCATTTCTATAGAGTGATTAATAATATCTTCATGACTCCCACTCACTCAGTTCCACTAGGAAGAGGGGTTAATTATTAATTTCTTCTATTCTTTTCATTGTACTGCAAAATAACACTGTTTCACCAATTACGCTAATTAAGGTGCAATTAAGAAGCAATTCATGAGCAATGCTACTGCTGTGCTGATCAAGAAGCAATGAAATGAAACTGCATGGAAGGTAAAGTAATCATTGTACTGTATTTTCTAGCTTTCGTGATTTATTTTACAATTGTACATTGTTTTGAATCATCTGAGCACTGCCAGTGCAATAAAAAGGTCAGTTACATGCTTTTAAAATAATTAACACTGCAGAGGATTTTTGCTGAATGATGTTTAGATTTGTGTAAGCCAGTGTTTCTCAACCTTCACTAATTTAAGATGTGTGAATGTCAAATCCCAGAATCCCCCAGCCTCATGACCTATTGGCTGGGAAATTCTGGGAGCTGAAATCCACACTTCTTAAATTAGCCAAGGTTGAGAAGCCCTGGTGTAGGCATTGATCTAAAAACCTTGCTCGTTCAATGAGCGTTGCTAAATGGAACTTTTCTAAATGTTCTGTATGAAGCCAACACTACATATCTAATATGCAGAGTTTACTTCATTAATCTGTTGCAGCAAAAATAGCCAAGAGTCATGTGGCATTTTAAAAATACAAATTCATTACAGAGCTCTGTAGTCCACAAAAGCGTATGCTGTAATAAATTGATTAGTCCCCAACAGACACAACATTCTGTTATTTTAATTCCATTTCCAGCTGAATACCAGCAAGCAATGCCTCATCAAAGTTAAAAATGCCTCACATGAAAGTGGTGATTATTTTTCCCTCACTTCTGACATTGAGCTCTTTCTGTAGCCTCACCAATGGCTTCCTCCTATCTTCAAAATGGGGCACAAGCAAACAGCAGCCTCCCCCTCCTGAACTGCTTTGTGACACATCAACAAAGAGACCAGTAGATTGCTGCCCTTACAGGAGGGCAGTGCTAGTAGATGCTGCCGCAAGCAGTGACAATGCTTTGTACAAGGAAAAGATTGATTTGTTTAATAGCTAGATGGAGCATATCCTTCCGTGAACATTTGATTTGTTTCTGCAGTGCAATTGCAGTTGTGCTATCTTCATGCACTGAGTGGCTTTGCTTCTTTGCTTGCTGTGGTCCTGGATGAAGGCAAGAGTCATACTGCTGTTGCCATTAAGAAAGCAATTCAATGAACTACAGGGGCTGAATCAAGGAGACCCCCTTCCCTTCCCACATCAGGAGGATAAACAGGCAAGCCCTTCTTCCCACAAATAGCTGAAAAGATTGGGCACTAAATAATGGAGAGGAAAGGCGAGCCAGGCTCTAGGAAAACCCAGTTTTCTGCAAAGAGCTCTCCTTCTCCAATTTTATCAACCAAATATCATAACGAAACCCATAAATAGAATGTGGACACACAAGAATGCTTCCTATAAATACTATGGTGGTGTCTGAAAGCCCCATGATGATTTACAGCCACGAACAATTTTATCCTCCATTAAATGTTCATTATTCTTCTAAGTCTTTACAACTAGTAGCTATTTCCATGCCTTGAGGTAGCATAAATTAATCACTCTTTTTTAACATAATGTGCATTTGAAGAATGATTCTGAGATTCTTAGAAATTGTTTGTCTCCCTTCGTTTCTATTGCAAGAATTGTAGATAATCATTTAGCAATTAAAAGATTTTCATACTTTCATTCTCTATCCGTTCAGAAGCTGTGTCAAGCTAATCAGTGATTATTACTTCTGTTGGCCTGTGCAAAAAAGATCACCTCATCTCCTATCCAATACAAAAGGGAAGAAAAGAAGGAAAGAAGGAAGGTCCAATTTTTTTGCATATTGGCTGTTTCCTCTGCTGAAGTGAAGGGCATGGTAAGCTAATTATCCTTTGTATCTATAAAACAGATGCAAAGTCTCCTTTGTTGAGCTCAACTCCCTGTGTGGGAACTAATTATCAACTTTTCTCCTGATCATTTTGCCTAAGTTAGATGAAAGCTGTAAAGTGACAGAGTCAGCTTGTCACTTACAATTTTTGTTGTTGTTAGTTGCAAAGTTGTGTCTGACCCATCATGACCCCATGGACAACATTCCTCCAGGCCTTCCTGTCCTCAACCATCCTCCAGAGTCCATTTAAGTGCATGCCTACTGCTTCAGTGACTCCAGCCAGCCACCTCCAGCCAGCCACCTCTATCGTCCCCTTCTTCTTTTGCCCTCAATCGTTCCCATCATTAGGCTCTTCTCCAGTGAGTCCCTTACAATAGAAATGAGCACACCCATGATTTACAGGGCACATGCTCAGGAAATGTGCTTCACTATTTTTTTGGTGTGTTTTTTTCTATTGTTTAGTAAATATACATGGGGCTTTTTTGCACCACAGTCTTCAGGTAGTTGTCTCCTATGTGTAAACTGGCAGATAATTAAGTCAGTTTAAGAAATTATTTCCTACGTTTCAATCCTTCCCTCCACTCTGACTACAAAATTCTACTCAGAACTCAATTAACACGGCCCCCAACTATGGATTTTCTGCTGCTTTTCTCCTCTCGCCCATGCCAGGAGAGCAAGCGCCTGTTACAAAAACAGTTTTATAATTCTTCCTGTCAATTGGGCTGGAATGGGAAACTTGACAAAAGCCTTGTCAGTATCACTCAGTTAAAAGAAACAGCCAGCATTTCATTATTCCACTACTGAACATACAAGCACACACAAACACATACACATATCATAACAAAGATCTAGCCTTTCAGGGTAGGCATCCCAGCATGAAATGACCACTGGAGGCAGAGAGCAGTGACTACAGTGACTGCCCTCCGAGCATATACCAGTTAATTGAACTGAGACAACCTTGTAAAATAGAATGAAGTGTGCCTGGCAGAAAGGGAAAATATTACTTTAATGCAGAGAAAAAAACCACAGGTGGGAGTCACCTTCCTAACAGCCTAGGGCTGATCTAAAGCTGATGAAATTCACTCCTGTTCTTCCAAAATGGAGCGTCCTCATGCAGGGCAAGTTGAAAGTACAAATCAGTCCATGGCATCAAGCTGTAAACTTGCAATTTTACATGGAGAAAAGCAGTGTGACTCTCCAACTAATGTTGAACTAGAGCTCCAATCAGCCGGAGCCAGCATGACTAATAGTTAAGGATTATTGGAACTGCAGTTGTCCATCCTTGCTGCACATATTTACCTAAATTATAAAAATCCTTTTTGTAAGATTCATTTTGGAGTAAACATGGCTATGTACTAGCCACACACCTACTAGCAACAATCAGGAACTGAATTAATCACAGGACACAGTCCTGTTTATAGACAGTATTTAATCAGATGTTTTGCTGAATAGGTAATAGTTTACATTTTAAAAAGAATGCAGGGGATAATAACACTGCAGTACAATAGCTGGGAAATAAGATTCCTAATTAATTGCTTAAACTGAAAGAACATATAAAATACTAGATTTCCCACTGCCAGCAGCTACGAGATGCCTGGGGAGAAATACAAAGGATGTTAAAATGATTTTTTTTGTTTCGCACTGGAGAAAAACATCCCAGTCTGTCAGGGGTTATTCCAAATAAGTGAACTTTTTATGGGGGAAAAAAAAGTATAAAAGTTACCAGGTAGTTGAACTGCTGTTTTGTGGAGAATCTGAAGCAGCTCTTTATTTGCAT